TTGTTTGTTTTGTTTGTTTTTTTTCTGGGCCAATATTTATGGATTGACAGAGAACAAAAAAAAAAAAACCTAGTGTTTTGTTTTTCCATAAATAGGTGTTTCTTTTGAAGTTCATTTTTGGATTATGTCTGTCGTGCTTGGCAGTCCAGCTAAGTAGAAACAGATAACCAGGAAGTATGAGTGGGATTTAAATGAGAAACAGTTTGATTGTCTAGGGCATAATGAGTGGGATTTTTTTAATAGCTGTAGTGTGAAAAGTAATAAAAGAATTAAATGAAGATTTCATTTTCTTCAAAAAAAATTTTATTTTGTTTTGCCTGCATGCATGTATATGCACTACATGTATGCCTGGTACCCACAGAGGTCAGAAGTGGGCATTGGATCCCCTGGAACTAGTTACTGGTGTTTTTTGTGAGGAACCATGTGGGTGCTGGAAACTGAACCTGGGTCCTCTGGTAGCCATCTCTGAAGCCCCTAAAGGAAGCTATTTTAGGGTGTTTATGACATTAAAAGATGGAGGAAGGCTCAGCTCAGGTGAGCACTGACATCCAGAAAACGACCTGAGCTGAAGGAAATCAGTGGGCTTTCATGCACGTGTCCAGGAGAAGAAGTGTTCTTAGGAAAAAGTATGACCCAAGAGAGCTTGTTGGTTAAGTGAGTCAAGGTGCTTGCCACATAAGCCTGGCACCCTGAGTTCAATCCCCGAACCCAAGAAAGGTAGGAGAGAAACAAATCCATAAAGTTGTCCTCTGCCTTCCACAGGTGTACCGTGACACATGTGTGCATGCACACACAGGTCATTATCTACTCATGAACAATAAACAAATTAATTGTAAAGGTTTTTTAATATGACGAAGAACCAGAGTCTCAGAGAATCCTGATAAGTACAACCTAGTTTTAGTTTTTCCTTTTCATTTCATCTTTGGTGAGGTATGACTGATGTGGTAGTTTGAGTGGTAGCCAATTGGCTCCCATAAGCTCATAGGGAGTGGCACTATTAGGAGGTGCAGCTTTGTTGGAGTGGGTATGGCACTGTTGGAGGAAGTGTGTTACTATGGAGGTGGGCTTTGTCTCATATATGCTCAAGCCAAGCTCAATGTCTCAGACCATTTCCTGTTGCCTGCAGGATCAAGATGTAGCTCCTTCTCCACTCTCAGCTCCTTCTCCGGCACCGTATCTGCTTGCACGCCACCATGTCCCACCTTGATGATAACGGACTAAACCTCTGAAACTGTAAGGGAGCCACCCAATTAAATGTTTTCCTTTATGAGAGATACCATGGTCATGGTGTCGCTTCACAGCAATAGAAACCCTAACTACATCAATTGGAAAAGAAAAAATGTACATGGTTAAGGTGCACTACAGGTAGATGATGTCCAGAGACACATTATCTCCAGACTACTACAATCAAGCTAACAGTCATCCCTCAGTTGACATTTCCTTTCCTGTTTCTAAGAACTGACTTCTGCTGCTGCTGACTAGAGCTGTAACCTAGTGAAGTGCCAGCGCTGCTTAGCCGTTTGCTCACCTGGGACGCTGCTCTGTTCGTTTCTAAGAGCTACAGCAGGCATTTCTTTTCTCTTTTCAAGCCTGCCGACTGCTGACGCTCATGTCTGGGAGCTCTGCTGTTTGGTGTACGTATTTACCATTGTTAAGTCCTCCTGATAAACCGGCCTATTTTCCCACTGTATGCTGTGCCTCTGGTTTGCCCTCAGAGCCCATCTTATCTAGTGTGAGCACGAGCTAGTCTTGTTTTCTATCCTTTTACTTTCACCTTTAGGTCTCCAGTGAACCTTGGAGAAGCACATACTGTTACAGACTGTGGTTTTAGTTTTATTCATCCCAACAACCTCTGCCTTTTAGGGAGTTACTGACAAAGTAACTACTGATTAGAAAACAATTCTGGCCAGGCGGTGGCGGCGCACGCCTTTAATCCCAGCACTCAGGAGGCAGAGCCAGGCGGATCTCTGTGAGTTCGAGGCCAGCCTGGGCTACCAAATGAGTTCCAGGAGAGGAGCAAAGCTACACAGAGAAACCCTGTCTCAAAAAAAAAAAAAAAAAAAAAGAAAGAAAGAAAAGAAAAAGAAAAACAATTCTGACATTTCCCTACTTTCTACACTCCCCCCCTCCCCATGATTCATCCATTTCTGCCTCTTTTGGTGTTCAGGTGACTTACATATGCTCATAGAAAAATGATGTATGGCTCATCTGCTGTGAACTCCTGCTGACAGGAGTTAAGAGTAAGGCAGCCCTCCTCTCTAGGCAGTTTCAGGGTTACAGGCCCAGTATAATCAAATGTCTGCCTATCCCGACAGAACCAGCAGGAACCAGCTCAGAGTGAACCGTCTTTCCAGAAACTCTTAACAGTGAGCTCAGGGACTCTAAAACGCTACTAGAGAACACACTGAGTCCCCTCCTGGCCACAGGGAGCTGTTCCTCTACTTCTCAAGACACTGCACCTGGCTGCCCTTCTGTCCTCCCTCTTCATTCATCATGATCCCGAGACAGACACCTGGTCCAGCTCCACACACAGGGCATCTGAAGCCTAACTGTGGACTGCCTCAGCCCTCTGCCATCATCACAACTTTAAAGCATCTGCAACAGCAGTTATTGTGCCAACATGTGAACGCCATTCTTCCAAGAAGAAAAGGCATCCCGCTCTTCACATGTGGAACTCAGGGTCTTCTTTCACCTAGTAGAGTCATTTTTATTCAGGCTGCTTCTGTGTTATTGCCACTGATGCAAGCCTCTCCCCACACTTCCGCTGGGAGAGCCACGGGGGTGGGGGTGGGGGTGAGGGTGATGCATAAACAGGATACTGCAAGTCACAATAGTGGAGCAGACTGAAGGGTGTCCGGGTAGCTGAGAAGTGATCCCAAGATGGAGCTCACTCCACATGCCACCTTGACATTGGAGGTACAAAGACGGACCAGTGGGTGACTTAACAGGGAGTAGTCTGTGCAGTGAAGGAAAAGCAGGATTTGAGTTGAAATGTAACATAAAGGGCAGAGCTAACCAGATTAAACGCTAAGAGGTCAAATAAAGACATCTTCCCACCTGATTTAACACTGGAAGAAAATGAAGACCTTCACGGTGTTCTATTTATTTAATGTGAAGGATATGTGCATGCTATGTAGAGGTCAGAGGACAAGTTAAAGCAATCAGTTCTTTCTCCCCACCAAGTGAACTCTGAGGACCAAACTATGTCATCAGGCATGGTAACAAGTACTTTCACCCACTGACACATCTCACCAGCCTGACAAATTTTTGTGTGTGTACATGTGTGGATGTGCACGCACATGCTAACAAGAGGTTAATGTCAGATGTCTTCCTGAATCATTCTCTGTAGTAGGACAGGCCCAGAGGGTCGAGGAAATTGGCTCAGAGCAGTAGCCAAGGCATGCACATAACACACTCCTTAAGAGCCAATCTGGAGTCTGCCTGAGGACCTAGCAACAGTCGATGTGATGTCAGAGTTCCTGATCGTGCCCAGCCAATGAGGAATGACCACACAGACTGGGCGCTGGGAGGAGGATATATAAGGCCTTTCCTGTTATTGAATAAATGAGTTTGTAATTTGCTTTCAACAGACTCCCAGTGTCTGAGTCGTTAACAACTCGCCTTCTTAGCCCCTCCCCCGGGGGAGCTGTTAGAATCCAAGCAATAATTCTCCACTTTTGTTTTGGTTCCAAACATCTCTACAGTCAGAAAAGTGGTTTTTGTTTTTCCTATTAGATGTAATACAAAATGTAAAAAGTCACCATCCCATCCTTAAAAAACAACATGTGTGTTGGGGAGGGGTGGGTGCTGTAGAAAACAAACTTCATTCTTATGGTATGAGATTAAGAGCTGCATTCTAGAAATGAAAATGTATAAACCATATACATATGTGCTTATTATATAAAAGCACAAGGAGATTTGCTAGACTAAGCAGGGGCATGAACAGTAGAACACAGGATCCACTAAAGTAACACAGGGCAAAACATGAACAAGACCTTTCTCATGGATCTTACAAACTAGTAAGAATGTAAATCCTACCATCAAATTTGTTTTTAGTCAAAACTAGGAATCACATTTAAGAGAAATAAATAAAAATACCACTCAGCATAAACAGTTAGTGAGTTTGAAGCTTTTTAAAGTTATGTTTATTTATTTATTTGTTGTGTGCCTGGGGAAGGGGTGGTGTGTGCATTCATAGATTCTCATGTGTGTGCTTGTGGGCACATACATGAGACAGGGGACAACTTTTAGAGTTCTACTCTCTGCTTCTACCATGTGGGTCCTGGGAATCAAGTTCAGGGCATCCATCAGGCTGGGTAGCAAGCATCTCTACCCTAACACCTCAGGGAGCCACGGTGGAAACTTCAAACCATTCCTTCCTCATATATCGTCCTGTCAACTGTTGCATATCCAAGGAGGAAACAGATACTTCTATTTAAAGTTTTTAAAATATATTATTATTGTGTGTGCATCTGTGGCGGGAGGCACCTGCCACAGCACATGTGTGGAGGTCAGATGGTCAGTCTGTGGGGTTGCTTCTCTGCTTCCCCCTTGCATGGGTTCTAAGGACTGACCTGCAATCAATCACCAGCCTCCACAGCAAGAGCTCTTCCCCACCAAGCCATCTTGCCAACCCAAGTCCTTCTAAATCTTACACAAGTGTTTTGATGGAAATACAGTTTTACATTAAATAAACTAAAACCAGATGGAAGTAAGACTGATTTCCCTAGTTCTTCCTAAGAACAAAAATCTCACCCCTCTCCTAAATATTAGTTCCCCAGCATCTGGTCGTCTGTGGTGTTCATAAAAAGTTCTGCTTAATATAAGAATGAAACAGCTCCCAACTCCGGGGGACACGAACTGCGATTTGTTCTACAGACTGCTCCCCACGTCTAAAATGAATCACTGTGCCTTAGTAAGCAGATTGAGATGTTTCCCCTTTTAACACATAAAAACTACACACACAAAACTAACAAAAATAGAGAGCCAAAACAAACCACTTAAGTATTTTAGGCCTTTTTATTTTAATAAATAACTTCAGTTAATAGCATTGTCAAAATTAAAAGGCACTTAAAACAAGATTGTGACTAGTGTGAGACAGAGCAAGCTCAGAAGGGAAGGCGCATTCAGAAGGCGCACAGTGGTTGAATCGCTGCTGAGGGGCCTGCCCAGGTCCTGTGGCCCTGCAAGCAGCAGGACAGCTTCGAGTGTTTGTGAAAAAGGCAAATGTACAGCCAAGTAAATGAAAAGGTAATGATACAAAGTCTTAACCCCAAACTGCAAACAGACACATTAAAAGATGAGAGGAGGTGATAAAGGAGCACCAGGAATTAAACAAAAACGGTGAAGTAAAATAAACTCATCCAAAAGGTTCCCGTTCAGCAAATGCTTTGAAAATTATGGCCTTTATGTGAATAGTGCTACATCAGGGACTCCTTAGCAGAGAAGTTCCCAGGACTTTTATCCAAGCTTGGATTTATAGAGAAGGCATCAGAGTTACGGGATCAAGTAACTCATAATGGCACACAGGTTTTAAAGCTAAGTTTTTCCTTCCACCTCTCTGAATTTTCCCAATGGCCTCTGTAGATCAACTGTGTCAAAATTATTTTAACTGGAAACTGTCAGCATACTTGTCTTTCCGGTGCATCATTGGGCATGCCCAGCGGGCAGCAGCAGGCTGAAGCAGGCCCCAAGCCGCCAGCCGGACTGCACTGTGGACTCCGTGCGAGCAGCCCTGGCTGAGCTCGGTGGCTGGGTGCAGACACTTGTGAGGCTGCTGCTTCAACTCTGCCCTGCCTTCGCCCCAGCAGTGTCACGGGATGCACTAAGAGCCTGATCCCAAGGATCCGGGAGGAAGGGTTAAAAAGGCACACTGTGACCTCAGCTGACAAGGATAAAGATCCTTTCTCAAGTCTTCTGTCAGTCCCTGGCAAGGATTATAACATTATTTTCAAAATAATAAAAAATTAAAAATTATACATATTGTACATTTTCCAAACCTGCACGTGAATGAGCCCCTGGCCACAGAGCCCCAAAGCTACCCTACGTGACTAAGACGACGCTGCTGTGAGCTCGGTGTGGCAAGCCCGGCCTGAGGAGGACTCATTTTCCCTCATACTTCGGATTCACCACAGTTGTGACGGCACTCTTGTAAATAGGATTTTCACCCTAAAACAAACAAAAATCACCAGTTACTCTCTAAAAATCAGCGTCCCAAAACAGTATTAAAAGCTGCAGTTTTCTTAAGAAGTCACTTCCAATGTCCAGTGTCACTGTGTTTAGGTGGCAGAGATAATGTCTGACACAGAATAGGACACCCTTGCCCCAGGAGTCCTGGGCTATTGGAACATTGTGCTCTGACTCCAGTCCACCGTCCCTGGAGAGCTGCATCACAAATGGCCTCCACAGCTGCCATCAGAGGCTCCTCGGAAGGTCTGGTACCCAACCTGAAGAAGCACTGAGGACCTGACTCCACACCTTAATGCACAGGAGCACTTGATAATCAAACGGGGCGGCTGGCTTTGTCCCAGGGAAGGCGCTGTGCTCCTGGGATCTGCTACAGACCTGACTGATTCCTGGGCATGTCTGTCAGTGTCATCCACGGCACTGTGCAAACATACGCTAGAATGTTAACTAATTACCATTCTTCGGGAAATTACTAGTCTTCAACAGCCTAAGGATGCTGCGGATCACAGTTGTCTTGAGTGAGGACCGCTGCGAATTCAGCAAGTGACTCAAAGCCACAAACATTCCTCAAGATTGAACAACATACTGACTGTGGTGTCTTAAGCAGAGCAATAGCAATCATAATTACACAATCACAACCCTACCCTGGATGAGAGTATAGTATATGGTGTGTGAAGATATGAAATAAGGTGATCTGACAGTTATATACATGAGAACAGTACTGGAAAGGGTGATTAACATGAGAAGTTTTGGAATACTTTCACAGAGAAACTGACTACAAATAAAGTATTGAAAAACAAATGGAAATATAAACAAAGCAAAGGTATAGAGCAAAGAATGTCATATCTAGGTAGAGATACATACAGTTCATACAACATACATACAATGTGTTCTGAGGTGCTGGGAATGGAGCAGAGACAAGAGAGGAAGGCAGTGTGGACTCAGCCCTGAGGGCAAGGTGAGCACCTACAAGATGGCAGCAGCTCTGTGAATACAGTCAGAGCAAGAGCAACACCTGACACTCACTCCCACTCCTCAAAACCTAACTCTTCCGAGCATGGGGGATCTTTGCTGGGATGCGGGTTAGTTTTTGTCAACTTGACACAAACTACGGTTTCCTCGGGAGAGGGAACCTTAATTAAGGAGCTGTCTCCATCATACTGGCCTGTGGACGTCTTTGGGGCATTTTCTTGATTTCTAATTAGTGTAGGAGAGCCCAGCCCACAGAGTTGGGGGTGAGGGTGGGTGCCACCCCTGGGTAGGTAGGCCTGGGCTATATAAGAAAGATAGCTGGGCAAGCCAGGGAAGTACGCCAGTGTACAGCAGTAAGAATTCCTCTGGTGGTCTCTGCTTCAGTTCCTGCCTCCAGGTTCCTGCCCTGAGTTCTGCTTTGGCTTCCCTGGATGATGGGCTATAACCGGTAAGCCAAGTAAACCCTGTCGTTTGCTTCTCCAGGGTGCCCTGGGTCACAGTGTTTATCACAGCAACACAACACAAACCAGAATAGATGGTTAATGTCAATGTCAATCTAGTGACATAGAAAATCATGTGGGAGATGAGTCGTGTCTGGGGGTGGGGGGGATTATACTGATTCAGTTAATGAAGGTGGGATGCCCACTGTGGGTAGAATCATTTCTTGAGCTTGAATACTGTATAAAATAGAAAGTGAGCTGAGCCCCAGCCTTTGTCACTCTGTCTTGTGGCTCAGATACAATGTGACCAGCTGCCCCAAGCTCCAACTGTGGCTTCTCCACTGTGCAGACTGCACCCTCTAACTGTGAGCCGGAGTACAGCTTTTCTCCGCTGAGCTGCTCATGGAGTGTATTTTATTAGAGCAACAAAAAGTAAGCAACACAAGACCCTGACACAAACACCCCACACTGACAACTAACGCTCAGACTCTCAGATCCTCAGCCCTCGGGCGGCCGGGCCAAGTGCAGCCCTTCACATAGTCACAGCACTCCCCCTTCAGGAAGAGGCTGCCTTCTTGGAAACCCATCTGGGTGGGATACTAGAACTTCTGTTTTCAAATACAGTAAGGCTTTAAAACTTCCATTTAACTGTCTTTAAGTTTATGCACTTAACATAATCTAATATTTAGTGCTTAAGAATTATAAAGGAACAAAACAAAGCAAAACATAAAAAAAGAGAAGTTCAATATTTATTGCCACAAAGTCTAAGGCAGAATTTATACGGGGAAAAAAAAACTTACCTTTGGAAAAGTTTGCTTTGCTATACACACAAACATATTTATTATTTCAAAGTCCAATCACACAAAAGTTTAACATGCAAGTTAGAGATAAAATTAAACTCACTATGTGTATTAGGCATCAGTTTAAATGGAGGTAAACTAAAGTAATTCAGATTAGTCGAGTCACTCAGGGCACAGCCCCTGCCCAGGAAGCCAAAGCACGTTTGCATCTGAGGTGGAGGCTACCCTTGGCCGTGCATCCGTTTGTCCACTCGGAGCAGCTGACAGTGTGGCTGTAAAATGCTATGTACGTGGTGTTTGAGGTATACAATGCACCTGGGGGTTTGTAATCCACAGCAGGGAAGGACAGGCCTGATCATCTTTTCAGTGTCCCCACATGGCAGTATTATATGCTCACATAATTACAGTGTCTCCTGATGGTGTAATTAATTGGTGGGAAGCCTTGGTCCCATATCACAAAAATGTTTTTGTATGATTTTTTCTGACCTATTGACTTTCATTAATCTTTATTGTTAATTTCTACTATAATTTTTATTAAGAAAACATCTTAGGCTATATAATCTATAGCCATAAATTTTCCTACATTTCAATAATATGCAAATAAAATTTAAGAGACCCTTGCTTTTTTAATTGTTTGAAATCCTTATTTTAGCTGAAGAAGGTATACTATAGCTAAAAATTAAATCAAGAATATAAACATTAAGCCGGGCGGTGGTGGCGCACGCCTTTAATCCTAGCACTCGGGAGGCAGAGCCAGGCGGATCTCTGTGAGTTCGAGGCCAGCCTGGGCTACCAAGTGAGCTCCAGGAAAGGCGCAAAGCTACACAGAGAAACCCTGTCTCGAAAAACCAAAAAAAAAAAAAAAAAAAAAAAAAGAATATAAACATTAAGTATAAATAGTAACTACTGATTATTTACCCAAAGTGCCATTAAATGTACAGAAAGGGCAAATATTCACCTCAGTAAAACAAGTGGAAATTCTTCTGTGAGAAGTAACTATATGAAATTGTTAATACTTGACTGTTTCCACAAAGGAAAGAAATAAATAAAAACCCTAGTAATTTGACTAGCTAATCAGTTTTCCTACTTCTGTAAAGTGAGACTGAAAGAACCCATCAAGTTTTCAAATACATGTGAGCTTGACAATAACTTTCTACCAACAAGTTAAACCTTTAATAAAACCTTCTTAGCAATAAAAGAGATCCAGCAAGTCATGATTTCTAGTATTATTGCTACTTCCTGTGTCCCTTAAACATACAAAACATTCCCATAATTGGAGTTTCCTGCAAGTCCATTTTTATTAATTGATTGATTCATGACTGAGTAATTATAGGGCTGGGGATGGAACTGCAGGCCTCCCACAACACATCTGCACCCCTCAATTTTGCTTTCCAAGTTCACTAACAGGTAAGTAATCCTAACAGTAGTGCTGAGTTCTGTGTAGGAAAGTGATCCCCCAGGATGCTTGCCCAGCAGCATTGCCCCAAGTCACATCAGAGTCAAAGCGGGCAGCGCTGTGAAGTGCTCTATTCCTTCCTAACCAGGTAACCCTCTCCTAAAGAATGCGGCTGCTAACCTGCTAACAGGTGCAGAGCAGAGGACAGGGAATAAGTACTGGAATCCGACAGTCTGACTTGAATCTCATTTCACTAACCCTCTGTATGAACTTGGCTTCTCTGCCTTACTCTTCTCTTATATAAAATGGGAATAAAGATAGTTCCCACTATTTTATGATTAACAAAGAATATGGGGTACTGAGAAACATTCCTGAAACACAGGAAGACCCTGTAGCTATCACCAACACTATCACTGTCTATAGAAAGTAGAGACGAGAAAACATGAATCCTCCCAGGCTCTATCCAATCTGAGAAAAGAATTTGATACTAATGCAATCCTTTTTACGGGAGAGTTTTTTGTTTTTTAAGATTTATTTATTTATGTGTAAGAGTGCTCTATTTGCATGCATGACTTTATGCCAGAAGAGGGCATCAGACCACACTATAGATGGTTGTGAGCCACCATGAGGGTGCTGGGAACTAAACTCAGGACCTCTGGAAGAGCAGACAGTGCTCTAACTGCTGAGCCATCTCTCCAGCCCAGGTAGAGTTTTAAGAGAGGCAAAAAGGGGTGTGTCTCTGTGAATTCAAGTCCTGCCTGGTCTACACAGCAAGTTCCAGGCTAACCAGGACTACAAATAAGGCATTGTCAAGCAAAAATTAAATAAAAAATAAGTGACAAAAATTTTCAGTTTTAAACTTGGAAGTCAGAACCATTTAATAACTAGTAAGAAACATACAGCAGTATTTTGCTTCTCAGTAGAATTCCCACATAATCAAGAACTAAAAACTCTCTGAATCTTTCTAGAATGGGTAATATGAATTGTAACTGTGAACACTACAAACACTACACTATGGTTTTAGCCTTGGTTTTGCAATTTTGATTTCACATTCCATTTCACTATTCAAATCCAAGAGGTGATTCACTATGTAACGACCTTCTAAAATAGGACTGTATCGGAGATTGGGTGGACTGTACTCCAACTGCCTCATATAGCCACCCCATGTGACAGTTAACAGCATTAACCCCCCCACTCCCCACCCCAAAGATAAGAAGGGCAGCCCCAGGAGGTGACAGAGCTCAGGGCTGCTCTGTTCACTAAGCAGAAGGCCTAGGGCTGAGCAGGCTGCCTGGCTGCAAACGTTCTCTTCTCTCCACCAACATGGAGGCTCCTTCTCTAGCTATGTCTTGTAAAGTCCTTCCAAGCACTAAGTTAACACATGAGAGAAGCCACAGACAGCCATACACATGAAGGCAAACACGAGCAGCAGGAATGCTGAGACACACAAGGTGCAGTAGTGAAGACACAAGTCCACATGCGAGGATAGAAAGTGGAAGGAAATACGAACGGCAACTCAGAGACCAGCTTTACGTCCATAGTTTGGATTCTTGAAATTATTAATAGGACTCTTGTAAATCGGATTTTCTTGCTAAAGTGAAAGAAATAGTTTCTAGTGATTTCATCAGAAAGAAAATTGGTATGTAGTATGTATAAATACCATAAAATGAAACTCTATTTCTACACTTCTGAAATTTCTAAGTTTTAAAAAAAAACTAACCTAACTGTAGTAAAAGGCACATGACTATTTGTATTTGCAATTTAAGAATACTGACTGAAGACATCAACTCTTTCTTGTGTCAAAATGTGAATAGATAAGGGCCAACATTTGGCCAACCACCTGACTCTATTCTGAAAGCACTGAATTAGCACACACCAGTCAAAGCCTGTGTTTCTATTAAAGTAAGTTTTACAGACATACAATCGGAACAGAACAAAATATACCTTAAGTTCAGGCCAAGTATTTCCAAATGCACAAACACACCTACTGTAGAACTCATCCCAAGAAGGGCCCAAGAGGGCCTTCTGGTCACCCTCCCATCATTCTATCCCCAGAACCACTGATTGGTTGTGTTTCCCAGAAGTCATGTGAAGAGAATCATGTTGGATGCATGTAGTGGGGGTTGGGAGGTTCTTTCTTTAGTTGAGACACTGGTGAAGTCACTTGAGATTCTATTTTACAGTAGACAAATGAGCAGAGTATATCATACCTATTAAAGAACTAAAAACACTGGCCACTACATATGTAGAATATATATCCTCGCCGGGCGTTGGTGGCGCATGCCTTTAATCCCAGCACTCGGGAGGCAGAGCCAGGCGGATCTCTGTGAGTTCGAGGCCAGCCTGGGCTACCAAGTGAGCTCCAGGAAAGGCGCAAAGCTACACAGAGAAACCCTGTCTCGAAAAAAAAAAAAAAAAAAAAAAAAAAAAAGAATATATATCCTCATAAATGTTTTACTGCAAGAAGAAGCTTCTAGTTTTCAGCAAATGCAAACTCTCTGAATAATGAACTCTGGGGAATGAAATATTAAAGAGGACTTTAAAGGTCAGTTTCACCGTTAAAGTTACATATACTTCATGAGCCAACCTACTTCTCAGTAGCTGTTTCATAACTTACCGTGTCCCATTTAGCATTCATTTTCTCCTTTTCAAATTTAGCAAATTCTCTTCTGTCATGGATTATCATTAAAAGCTTCCAAATAAGCAGCAAGGCAAGGCCAATGAGAACAATCCCAGCAACCACACCTGCTACAATTGGAATGATGTCAGGACCAGTAGGACAGTCTGCAAATGAAAAGGTTAAAGGTGAGCATACAAGGACTGAGTATACACAAAGTTCTCATGACCACAAAGAGCTTGCTGGGATCTTAAAAAATTAATATTACTAAAAACTCAAGAGACTGCACACTACCCCCAAAACCTATCTAAAAGCTACTAGGTTATAGGACCAGTGTGGTGGAATGTACCTTTAATCTCAAGACACAGGTGGATTTCTATGAGTTTGAGGCCAGCCTGAACTACATAGTGAGACCCTGTCTCAAACAAACAAACAAACAAACTACTAAGGTTCCAACAAGGGAACTTACAAGACAACAGGAAATACAATCATCAAGTCATTTATTTGGGGGTTATAGAATATATTTCCTTCCCTAAAGACTGAAATATTTAAGAATCCTAACAGCATCAAAAATGATGACAAGCTTATATGTAATTAAGAAGATTATGTTCTCTGGGCAGTGGTGGTGCACACCTTTAATCCCAGCACTCGAGAAGCAGAGCCAGGCGGATCTCTGTGAGTTCGAGGCCAGCCTGATCTACAAAGTGAGTTGTCCCCCGCCCACCCACCCCCACAAGAAATATATTTCTTTTTTTTTTTTAAAACTAAAAAGTTGGACAGTTTTTGTAACATTAAGCAGATGCTTATCATATGCTCTAAAATATGTTCACCAAAAAAAAAAAAAAAAAAAAAAACCAAAACTATGCACTAATAATAAAGAATGACAAAGAATCTACAAAGGCTACTAGGAAAAAAAAGGTAAAATGTGCTTAATTTGGGGGAAGTTGAACAAATTCAACATCAGTAACATCTTTAAGAAAACCTCTCCCAATACCTAAAGCTGAATTGAACTCAGATTTAAGTAAGTATCACAACATTGTTGTGTCTATGGACAGATTACGGCATTTAGTGTTTAAGTGCTCCACTCAGGAAACTTCAAACTTGATCTCTGTCCTCCTTAGTTGTTATATAATTAGCTAAATTCTACCTTAAGCTTTTAGAGAGAACTTCCCAACGTAAGCTTAAATAGTAAGAACCCAGGCTGTCTCTGATGTCAGAGGCCAGCAATAAGCCAGCACAGAAGCAAGGCATCTCCCCACTTCACCTGGAGTCTCCACCACATGCACGATGGCTTCGCTGTTGCCATTCACCGAGTAGGTGAAATAGAACCAGCAGTCATCCACGTCCTTCTCCTTGCAGTGGGTCACGGGGTAGACCTGCACCGGCTGGGGCAGCTTGTCTCTGCTTTCCACCTTCGTGAGATTGAAGTGGGAGCACTCCTGCGCACACGTGTCTTTCTTTTCTCCTTTATTGAAGGCTCTGCACTGAACACATTCTCTAAGACAGAAATTGGTACACTTAGCATGTCGTAAGATGTGTTTAGAGTACTTCACAGGCTAAACCAATGGCCACACCGATCTGAGGGCAACGGAAGCTCAGAGGGAATAGAGGCAATGGGTTCCACAAGAGAGCCCCATTTTCAGCAGCCTCAGCCAAGGCCAGCACCATCCTGGGTGGCAAAGCTGCTGTCCAAAAGGAAGGGGCAAATAAGGTGTTCTCCAGACCCACCCTGGACCAAGTCCACTGGCGGCAAAGCACCCAAGAAGCCTCGGCTACAGAGCTGCCTGCAAGCACTTGTCCTCCACTGGCCAAATACAGAACTTCAATAAAGGCCAGTGCCTGTGGAGCCTGGTAACACCAGGCCTTATCAAGGGTTCACCCAACATCTGACCCACAAACCTTACTTCCTATTGGCTACAGACCTGACGTCCACAGCACAGCTGTGGGTGCTGTGCAGATGCCAGGGAGGCCTGCACAGTGGATTCCTTTTGTAAAGACACCCACATGTCCATGACAAACCTGTAACAGGTATCCCCAAGACCACCAACTAGCATACTGCAGACCTGGGGGACAGATGTAAAAATCTATTTGAGCCCTTGGTGGTGTGAAGCATGGGTCCCAGCAGTCCAGCATGGGGAGCTGAGGCAGAGGCATCTCAAGTTCAAGGATAGCCCATGCTCAATAGCAAGGTCTCTCATTCTAAACTGTGTAAATTTTATAAAAAGTATTAACGTGATTCAACATGTTTCAGTGAACAAACCAGCAGTTGAGCTTTATAACAATTATAAGTAAACCGAATCCATTTTCCAAGTCAATGCTAACACTTGGATTTTTCTTACAATAAATTTCCCATTAATAGGTTTAAAAAAAAATGCCAGTCTCCAAAATGATAATTAAATCACAATAAAAAATAAAGGTGGGGCTGGGAAGATGGCTTAGTTCGTAAGGTGTCTGCCTCACAAGCAGGAGGCCCTGAGTTCAGATCACTAGAACCCACATAAAAGGCCAGGCATGAGGGCACACGTTTGTAATTCCAGGGAGGGAAAAAGAGTAGGTGGATTCTTGTCCTAGCCTACTCGACAAAGCTCAGGTAAATGAAAAACCCTGTGGTAAACAAAGGTAGAAGCTCCTGAGAAACAACTACCCAAGGTTGTCTGACTTCCATGTACACACATATACATGTATGTATACCCACCTCCATGGCATAAAATTAAAGTACAGGTAACAAAACTGGACCTATGTCATACATTAAATATGTAACATAAAACCACAATAACTTATGCAATGTATTATTAGTGTAATAGTTTACTAAGGAGAAAAACCTTCCATTCTCCTGAAACAAAGGTAGCAACTAGGCCAGAGAATGCCTCTGTGATAGAGCTCAGAGCTCTATCCCTGCCACTAAAGCTTAAAAATGAACAATAGTAGTGCCAAGTACATAAAGTAACATCACAGGCTCATCATATAGTGACTTCAGATTAAAATCAGAAACAAAAACCCAGCACACCTCACATGACACTTCAGTGTTACACAATCCACACTCACTATGAAGAATTTTTAGGACATAAAAACTGGGCTACAGGAAAAGCAGCAAATGTTCTCCTTGAAGTGTAGTGTGCTGGCACTCTCCTTTGGCTCTTGTGGTACAACAACAGATGCGGGGTCAGCAAAATGAGTGTAACTATGGCAACAGCTAGGCAGTACTTACTTGTGCTCTGCACAGACACCAAGGCACGTCTGACACGTCTCACAGGTTGGCCCTTGAAACTTGGGATCTGTGCACTTACAGGCACCACACTCACAGACGCCCCGGCCATTGCAGATCTGACCATTTGTTGCTACACATGGAGTAGTGTCCAAGGAACAGTCACATGCACTGCCAGTGTAATTGGGATAGCACTCACACACACGACACCTGCAAACACCGTTTCCTGCAACAAAAACATCGTTTTTCAAAATTATGATAAAATGTACCATCGCAATTCTCACACCACAGAGAAAGCAAATCTAATGGAAGGCCTGCCCTAACTGCTGCCCCTTTCTGTGTGTTCACCCGGTGACTCTGGAGATAGCTGACCTCACCAGAGGACCTGCACTGTGTAGCTACTACTGGTGCTTACTCACCCCCACAAATTAAGCCATTGGATCTATCACAGTTGAAGTTATCACACTCGCAGAATTTGCCAGAGTAAATTTCATTTGTATTATCTCTCTTCCTACACACACACTGTCCGCAGACACATTCTCCATTGTTGCTGCAGATTTCTGAGCTGTTCTCTTTCCTGCAGTAAGCGTCCATGTCTTCACTGTTCACTTCATCTGTGCTACATTCACAGTGCCTCCCAACACGCCCCTCATTGCACCTGTGGGAAGATCCAAACACAGTCACATAAAGCAAAATGTAACAATCTCCTCACACTAGCAAAGTATCAGGTAAAGACAGCCACCCCACATATGCAGACATGAGAGAAGTGCACTGTGTTTACACACACATACACATGCATACACACAGCAGCAACTCAAGTTCTTATGGAACGCAGCCTTGGGGAAATTCATCTTCAGCAAGGAACCATTCTAACCAAAATGAAAACACTCTAGCAACAAACAAGCAAGCAAAACATATGGAAAAGTAAAACAACTCATTTTTCAGGAAATAAGGTTCTTTGTATACTAGCTGGCTTTGAACCCAAGAGATCTGCCTGCCTCTGCCTCCCCGTGCTGGGATTAAAAGTATAACATCACTACGCCCTGCCTAAAAAGACCTTAATTACTCAAATAAGATATATACAATACAGAAAAATACAATATTTACATTATTAGTTAATGGGCAACTAAAAATTGATGGTAGCCAGACTATGGTTGCACACACCTTTAATTCCAGCACTGGGGCAGGGGGGGGGGGAAGCAGGCAGATCTCTGTGAATTCAAGGCCAGCCTGGTCTACAAAACAAGTTCCGGGATAGCCCAGGCTGTTACACAGAGAAACCCCTTCTGGTGGGGGGGGAGGGGGGCGCAACTTAAAACTGATAGCTGTTCATTTTTCTTGGGCCAATAATCAAAACCACAGTGATGTAGGACTGACATTTAGATTTAAATGTTCTATTATTTTAAAGAAAAGGCTGTATTATGAACACAGTTTAATTTTTAATTTAAAAAGTGGCCAAGGGGGCTGGTGAGAGGGCTCAGGGGATAAAGGTACTTGCCACCAAATCTGACAACCTGAATTCAATCCCTGGGGTTGACATGGTAGATGGACGACCAACTCCCAAAACTGTCTTCACCTCCACAAGCCTGCCATGACATGTGGGTGTGTATACACACACACACACACACACACACACACACACACACACACACACAAATAAATAAATGTACACTTTTTAAGTACTGTTTTCTCCTTATCCCAGCAATACAAAATTAATGCAGTACAAGGTAAACATTGCTTTTCCTTGCTAACTAATTCATAGACAAAACTGTCAGTTACACTGGCAGTATTGGCTTCTGCCTATAACCTAAGTATTAAGACAGTGGAATCATAGACTTGGGGTCATCCTAGGCTACAAAGCAAGATCCTTTCTCAAAGTAAAACAGAATTTAAAAAGAAAGTCGCCCCTACCAGTTTCACCGTTTCTAGGAAACATATTCCTGTCTTTTTTTTTTTTTCCCCATGTGTGTTTTGCTGCAGAGAACTGGGGCTGCCATCAGGAAAGCAAAGCCCAAAGGCTGCCCTGAGAATCTGGGACACACGGCTTCCCCAGCTAAGCTTCACTGTGGAGAACAGAGAGAGCCTAGTTTTTTTTTTTTTTTTTTTTTTTGGTTTTTCGAGACAGGGTTTCTCTGTGTAGCTTTGCGCCTTTCCTGGATCTCGCTCTGTAGACCAGGCTGGCCTCGAACTCACAAAGATCCGCCTGGCTCTGCCTCCCGAGTGCTGGGATTAAAGGCGTGCGCCACCACCGCCCGGCCGAGAGCCTAGTTTTATGATCTGATTTTCTACAGGCTCCCCAGTCAGGCTGCCTAGAATGTGTGTGTCCTGCTGCAGCAAGGCCGCACTCACCTGCAGGCTCCACACTCGAATGTCCCGTTCCCCTCGTGGCACTTGGGACTTGCTGGGATGCCATGGCTTTGGCAATCGCACTTGCAGATGAACTGAAGAATAACCTCTACTTCTTCAGTGAAGCCCAGAGGCTTAATTTTAATGGTTTCAGACTCCTTATTTGGACATTTATTTGCAGTTATACTTATTTCAAACTGAACCTTAAAGGGGAAAAAATTAGATTAACAAACTTAACAATGAATATAAAAAATATTTCAAAAACTGTTTAATTTTTCTCATATACAAAATTAATTTTTTTAACTTTGTAAGATTAATTTATGTGTATGGTGTTTTGCCCACATGCGTATCTGGCACCATGTACATACAGTGCCCACAGAGGTCAGAAGAGGGCATCAGATCCCCTGGAACTGGAGTTATAGGTGGCTGTGAGCCACCATGACCATATCCATGCTGGGGATCAAACCCTGGTTTTCTGCAAGAACAACCAATGCTCTTAACCACAGAGCCATCTCTCCAGCCCCGAAATTAAATCTTTTTACACATATCTTTTCTTTTCACAGAAAATGCTTACACAACATACCTCATCTCCAATGGAGATGTTGGAGCACTTTCGTCCATTTTCTCCTGTCCCGTTCACCCCATTCTTGCAGTAGGATTTGTAATTTACTGTTACTCCTTCTGGCAACTTGCTGTTTTCCAGAATGACTTCTGAAGAAAGGGACTAAAAGAAAGACTAACCATGAACAGGGAGGTAAAATAAACTATGACTTGAATACACACGAAGAAACCAATGGATGGAATGAGATGTCATAAAAATACTATTGTTTCAATACAATTCAATCTAACAGGGTGTTAGAAGATCTAAAGTAACTGACTCCAAAATAATGTAGACAATGTAAAAGTGTTTCTTTTTATTATTCAGCTAAAATTCGAATGATGTCAGAGCAAATGGCCTGATTATGAGGAATCCTAAGAACACAGAACACAAGCTTGCTGTGTTCACAGTCTCGCACAGCTATCCACAGCTTTCCTCTGGCCTACCCCTTCCAGCTAACTAGAGACCAGACAACAGAACACACAAGTTTACTGGGGACCACTCTTATCTAGTCACCTGGTACAGCCCCTAGAGCCTGAAGAATTGGAGATTAGCTCCATGCTCATCAATGCCCAGCAGCCCAGGCCCTGGGCTTGGTTCTCAGCACTACAAAGATAAAATCTGGCCACAGCCGACAAGCCAGAGTGCAGCCAGTGCTTCTTTACAAGAGCAGACATCTCAGGACAGTGAGCAGTGAGGAAAACAACCTCTCAAGACAGACAAAGGCTGGAATGGGAGGATGTGAAACAACTAAAATCTTCTGTCTTTGCCAACCCCCTCTGAGTCAAGTCTTTCCAAAATGTCTTGGCACGCTAGGCACGAAAGCCGGGAATGATGGAACACACCTGGGAGGTGGAGGCAGAAACATCACAAGTTCAGATCCTGAGGAGTCATAGCAGCCTGGGCCACATGATACTGTCTCAAAAAAATTCTAGGGCTGGCAAGATGGATCAGAGTGTAAAAGGTCGCAAGCTTGCGACCTCAGTTTGATCCCAAATCCACATGGTAGCAGAGAACTAACTCGCACAAGTTATCCTGTGACCTACACACACACACACACACACACACACACACACACACACACGTGTGAGCGCACGTCCTCTCTCCCTCCCCCCTCCCTCCCTCTATCTATCTATCTAGGTCAAAAAAATTTTTAATCTAAATTTAACCTACCAAAGACTGGACACCTAGGAAATGTGCATATAGTGCATAACAGTCACCACAAAACTCCAGGTGCCTGTGGGTCATTTTAAATGACCACTGCTGGTACTTACTGGGAATCATCACAGGCATTCTGACTTAAGCTCCCAAATGGAGAGAATTCTGCTAGTTTGAGTCCCCAAATGGTATGCCTACGTATGTACATACATACGAGAGTGTATGACTACTACTAAAAAAAGAAAAGCATGTCCTTTGAGTTTGTCTTTTGAAAAAGAAGTAAAAAAAATCCTTCTCAGGCATCATCCATCAAAAAAGGAGAATTCAGCCAGGCACAGTGGTACACGTCTTTCATCCCAGCACTTGGGAGGCAGAAGCAGGTGGATCGCTGTGAGTTCAAAGCCAGTTTGGGCTACATAGTGAACTTCAAGTCAGCCAGGGCTATATACAAAGACCCTATCTGGGCGGGGTGGGGGTGGGGGGCTGTGTACATCAAAATAGTTGTGTTTTACTCTTGTTCCAACTAGGAGATAAATGGCCTAAACAAGAACTTGGAAATTACCCATAGCCTTTACCTAAATATTATTGTTTTGTTTAAATTACGCTTTCATAAGACTAAGACAATATCAAGTTTTTTCCTCCAGGCATGGGATTTAAACCACGTTTTGCCCTGCCCCTTCAGCTTGCTGCAGTATGTATACAGGTGTTTCCTTAGGCACGGTGTGATGCTGCCAGCGTTTAGAGTACACTCACATTGTAGGCATCAATGATCAGCTGGATCACGTTACTGGAGTTTCCAGACAGTGTACCCACTGCTGACTTAGGAATCAAATTCTTCAATTCCTACAATTAAACATAAATATTATTTACTCAACCAAGTAGAATCCACTGAAAAGTAACAATTCTTTTGACACCTTGGGTCTCTATTCATTTCCTAAGCATCTTTCAAAGTCAAATCAAAAAAAGGTAACAATCCTAATAATATGAGATTAAAATGAACATAAACAATGTTTGTCAAATATAGTCTGGCTACCTGGTAGCATTTTCCTACATTTCAAAGACATAATTCTGCTACTAATAACTAAACAATAGGGAAGATCTAGAACTTTCATTCTTTTTACCTTGTAAACAGGCTGAAACTCTTCAGTAACTGCAAAGATTGTCTGAATGTTATTTTCGCTTAGTTTCTGGACAAGGTGAGCAATTGAGGGGTAATCCTAAGGAATCAAGTAACATAATTTAGTATATAAATACACTGTATAATCAGTGACAGCCCAGGCTGGATTCCCAACTGCTAAGATTACAGTATTTGAGTTGATATGCATTCATAACCAAATCACTCACATACAACTACTTTTAAGTAAGAATATCAAACATCAAATATCAAATAATTGCTGCGCTGGGTCGCGTGTACATTTAAGTTCCTCTCTTTTATGTATGTTTGAGTACTTCCATGTTTTAAGAGATTGTATATAATTTATTTTTATGTTCATTGGTATTTTGCCTGCATGTATGTATGGGGTGGGGGGCAGGCAGAGCCTGCAACTGGAGTTACAGACAAGTGTGAGCTACCATGTAGGTGCTAGTAATTGAACCAGGGTCCTCTACAAGAGCGGCCAGTGCACTTAACTGCTGAGCCATCTCTCCAGACCCACTTTAAGAGGTTTTAAATGTGAGACAATCTATGTACATTAAATGTGAGGACGGTGAAGTTAACGAAAAATAAAGGATTCTGTTATCTAGCACTTAAGACCAAGATTCACCAATACTGGATTACTCCTAGACCATGGGTGATTTGTCTGTATCTACTTCCAATGAAAGCCAGAGTGCATATTTTTAAGTGATATACATAAGATATAGAGGGTAAGCCTACTTAAAATGTACACTTAGAAACATGACCAGGAACTTGACAAATGATGTATGCAAATGAGGAACCAGATGGGTCTCAGCACCCCTGCCACCCAGACAGAACAGCACACTGCCAGAGTTTCACAAACAGCAGTGCAGCTCTCCCGGCAGTCAGCAGGGCCCACACTTGCCAAAATAAGAAAGCTGCAAACCCACTGTCCCACATGCTCAGTATTACACACTAAAATCCACCAGAGCCCACTCACTAGGTGAGGGCTTCAGTACTTACATAGTAATGGCTCATTGTGTATACGTTATTTTCCAGGTGACACTGTCCATCGTTTGGTAAAACAATACCACCAAGTTTCCCATCTCCAGCAAAGTGAAACCCGGCATCCGTGGAAAACACCAGCAGTCGTGTTACATTCCTCCAGCCAATCAGTGACTAAAACAAGAAGAGGTCAACCGTCAACACTGCTCACAGTAACTCAACATAAATCCTTTCAGCTGCACTGCACTTTTAACCTAATTCTGTATCACTGTCTTTCTCGTCCATGCTAATGTTGCGATCAGAGCAGAGCCTACGCAATCCTCCTCCAGCACTTCATAGCTGCCTCTTGCTGGTCATTCATCATGACATCTCAGTTCAGAGCCTGCCTTTAGGGGGAACTGAGTATGTGATGAATTTACACAGAGAGACAGAGTCCACACCTGCCGGTCCCGTCTCCGCCCACCCTGATGTGCGCCCCTGCTGCCTACTATACCGTATGATTCCTTTACCGGCCCTCTCCTCTACACTAGGCTTTACTGAAACATGCTTTCATGCAACCCATGCTAGCCTCAAACTTACTACTTAGCTGAGGATGGCCTTGAACTTTCAACCCCCCCCCTACCCCTAACTCCCGAGTGCTGGGGTTGCAGACTTATGCAACCATGCCTACCTTCCTTTTCTTACTGCGGGAAAATCTGTTAAAGAACTTGACCTGCTATACATCTCTTCATTCTAGCTCATGAAATCAGTTCATTTATGTAATTTCACTAGCTTATTCAACAAATAATGTAAGTAATATGAAAATCCTCTTCTATTATGGGAAAATACATTTTTTTCCTAAATTTAAACTGACTCAATACGTTTGTAAATTCTTTGAAGGTAGAAATTAAGTTTCTTTTTTCTTCCTTCTTTTTCTTAATTGTTGTTTTTTGTTTGTCTGTTCGTTTGTTTGAGACAGGGTTCTCTGTGTAGCCCTGGCTGTCCTGGTCTGTAGACCAGGCTGGCCTCTGACTCACAGAGATCCACCTGCCTCTGCCTCCTGAGTGCTGGGATTAAAGGCAGAAACTTCCAAAGGCAGGCTACCTGCTCTGTCCCTGAAGTACAACAACTGCAGAAACAGCAGCAGCCGGAGTGGGAGTGGCGTGGGCACTAGTTTCATCCTGTTAGTTAAAGCAGAGGCAGCCCAGAAAATGTTTACCAACAAAGAAAGCTTTTGAGAGAGGATACGTGGAATACTACTTCTTTAAACTACAAGCACTCCACAGACAAGTCCAAAGTAAAGACAGTGGTCAGTTACGTGCTGAGTGTCTCTGCGGACTTCACCTAGATCACTGCAATGGTATCTTACCACTGTCCTATGAGCTGTCGTGATCCTTTCCAGAAGACACAGCTCCAATGACACCAAGTCACTGCCTGGGAGCAGGAAGGACAGAAAAATCCTCCCTCCACACTCCCACAGTGCTTTACTTACTATCTGGGATACCCACACTCCCCCTTTACTACAGTAAAGTACTCCAGACTAGCTTTCTTGACGTAACAATGCTTCCTACTCTTGGTCTCAGTTCTCATTAAGAGATCACTGAGGGTCTGGAGTGGTAGAGCACACCTGTAAACCCAGGACTCAGGCAGCAGAGACAAACACATCTCTACAAGTTCAAGGGTAGCCTGGGTTACACAGCAAGACCATGTCTCAAAAAAACAAAACAAAATCAATCAAAAATACCCATGGATGTAAATAGTGGTCCCTAGTCCAATAGAAAATAGGCTTACTAACCCTGAAAACCTTACAAGTAAACCACAAACATTTCATTTCTCCTTTTATTACAAGCATACGCTGTCATATAGCTCAATCAGGCCTTTGAAAGTTCTTTCCTTTTATTATTAAGACAGAAGAGGAAGATGTCTCAAAGGCAAAAGCAGAGCACAAAACTGCCCTGAGGAACATGGTGTGATGCACTATTCCACACAGCATGTTCAGTGCATAGTGCCACCCAAGGCAATATCAGTGACATCTCCAGTACGGAGCCACCAAGTTAGGACACCTCAGCCTCTTCCAAAAACCCAATCAGCTAAAGTCTATGCTCCAGTTTTGAATTATGCTCCAGTTTTGAATGAATAAAATACTGGCCTTGAAAGCTCCTTAGGAGTGAACTCCTACCTGGCACAAACAGAGATGCACTGATTAGGGAGAGCCGAGAAAGCAGCAGCGGAGGGGAACCTAAAAGACTGACAGCAGTACCCCAGGGCGATCGTGTAACAGCAGCTTAAGGTCATTCTGTTCTAACTTTTCACCACTGGTGAAAACACACTTAAATCTCAGTAGAGAATGCCAACAGTCCCCTGTAGAAAACACTTACTCCACACACGGCAACCTGCATGATTGCATCAAAACCACCTTCTGGAGAGTCCAAGTTTCCAGATATGCGCTGCTGACCGACCAGTTTATTGAAATACTCTCCTCTGTCAGTAAGACTGAGCACATTCTTGTAGCTAAATGGGCTGGTGCAGTTCTGTTCACTTGTGCAAGGGTTTCTGAGCTTTGCTGGGGTTGTACTAATATACGGCATCACAGTTTTCTCCACAAATGAGCCAAAGCCTAGAGAAAAGAATGCACTTGGATAGGTGAATGGGCAGACAAACTCACAACACTTTTAATTGATGTTTATTTATTTATTTAAGGGGAGGACGCGCACACAAAGACCACAATGCACGTCTGGAGGTTAGAGGACAACTTGCAGGAGTTAGTTTAGAGACTGAACTCAGTCACCAGGCTTGGAGGCAGGGCCTTTAACCACTGAGCCATTTGACAAGTCTAAACACACATCTTTTTCTAAAGCCCGGGATGGAGGCTGCAAAGACTGTGCCATGGGCAGGAGCTCGTGCTGAAGCAGCACGAGGATGAGATCAGATCCAGCACCCAGTAAAAGGCCAGGTGCGGTCACACACACCTGCACCCCAGCACTGCTGCAGAAGAGGTAGGAAGAATACAGGCCACCAACCTAACTTAGCAGTGATAAACCATGTCTCATGGACATGAGACAGACAGTGATAGAGCAAGACACTCAACATCCTGCTCCGTATACATGCAGAAGCCTACACACACACACACACACACACACACACACACACAGACAAACTATGTTCCAAACATTCCTACCAATTCGGAAGTCTGAGGTAATCCTCCTCATTTCATTCATCAGATCTGTCCCAAGACTCTTCACATTCTCCAGATCATCTTTCATAGAGTAGGAGAGATCCATAAGGTAGTAGAGATCAATGGGGTAGTCTTCAGCCCTCTTGAATTTTAATGTAAACTTCTGTGGTTCTCCTAATTAAACAGATTCAAAATTGAGATTAGGTAGCCAGTAATCAAAATCAATTAGAAAAATAGTTAAGTCCAGTTTACATGTTCAGAACTGGTCCCTAAGAATTCTGTTAGAGCCTCAACAGGCACACACTTGATTTCATTTAACAAACTACTTAAAACACCAAGACTTGGGAGGAAAAATGAATGCAACACCCCCTACCAGTAACCCGTAAGACACTAATAATTCTGCTACAGCTTAGATCTGCCCATGTGTTGGCACCAACAGGAGGCAGTTCGAAGTTTGAGAGGTGGGGACCAGCAGGAAGTTTGGGTTACAGTGATGTGCGCTGGAGTCTACAAGACCTCCTCGCTGTAGTATCACCTCCCAGATGCCTCACCACAACATATCTATCACCTCAACACGAGCTTAGCACCAGGCCACTCCCCTAGATGGAAACTTCTAAAACTATGGGCCCAAACAAGCTTTTTCTTCTTACAAGTTATTTCAAGTAGTTGTTACTGTAATCACAAGCTGATCCAAACACAAATTTATGAGGAAAGCAGAACACCATAAACACTGGCAGAATGAAAGCAAAGCACACTATAGAGTCCAATAGACAGGTAGAAATTAAAATTAGGAGCGGGTGTTCTCTGTGTAAAAAGACACTGTTAATGTTAGGTGAATAACAATCTAGTTTTTTCTTTTTTGGGGGGGCAGGGGTTTCAAGACAGGGTTTCTCTGTGTAGTTTTGGTGCCTGTTCTGGATCATCGCTCTGTGGACCAGGCCTGCCTCTGCCACCCAAGTGCTGGGATTAAAGGCGTGAAGCCCCCGATGCTCGGTTCACAATCTAGTTTGACTTTAGAGTTATAAAAATAAGTTACAGGGGCCAGGTGGTAGTGGCGCACGCCTTTAGTCCCAGCACTCAGAAGGTAGAGCCAGGTGGATCTCTGTGAGTTCAAGGTCAGCCTAGTCTACAAAGCGAACCAAAACTACACAGAGAAACCCTGTCAGAAAGAAAGAGAGAGAGAGAGAGAGAGAGAAATAAGTGACGGTAAAGAGGTTAGTTAGAAACTACAGGAAGGTCAACTGCAGGAGACGAAGGAAGGGGAGAGGTAAAAGACGTTCCATGTTCCTCACTCACAAGCACAGAGCTGAGGCAGTTAGTGGGGGAGCATCTGTCCAGCACCTGAGAGGCCCCAAGCTCTCTCTCCAGCACACAAACAAACACAGCCATGGGAGAAAATGAAGGCTTGGGTGCAGAGATCAGTCTGTCTGGGTGAAAATCTACTAGTCTTTTCTCCACGGTCTGCTGGCAGGCAGCTGGAAGGGGGTGCAGAGCTGAGCTGAAAAGCCTGTGTTGTTGCAGACTATGAATGAGTTTCAAGGACTTGAGAGGAAAACCAACTCTTAAGTGAAATGCAGAGGGATGAAGAAGAGAAAACACAAAAAGGAATCTGGAAGCCATGGAAGGAACTGAGAAAAACAAGGAGCAACACCCTGAGCAACTGAGGTCCAAGCACAGAGCCTCTTTCAAGTACCCCATAGTGTAGAAAGGTTTGAAAGGAATAATGATGTGGGGGGAGCTGAAGAGAGGGCTCAGAGGTTAAGAGCACTGACTGTTCTTCCAGAGGTCCTGAGTTCAATTCCCAGCACCACATGGTAGCTCACAACCATCTGTAGTGAGATCTGGTGCCTTCTTCTGGCCTGCAAAGATACTTGCAGGCAGAACACTGTATACATAATAAATAAATCTTAAAAAAAAAAAAAATGATGATGTGGGGCTGGAGATGGTTCAGAAGTTCAGAGTACTTGCTGCTCTTGCAGAGGACTCAGGTTTGTCCCCCAGCACCCATATGGTGGCTCACAACCACCCCTAACTCCAGTTCCATGGGACCTGATGATTTCTTCCTACCTCCACAGGCACCAGGCACACACATGGTACACATATATATTTTCATACAGGCAAAAACAAACATCTAAAAAACGTTTTAAAGTAATAATGATGGCCGGGCTGTGGTGGCGCACACCTTTAATCCCAGCACTCGGGAGGCAGAGCCAGGCGGATCTCTGTGAGTTCGAGGCCAGCCTGGGCTACCAAGTGAGTTCCAGTAAAAGGCGCAAAACTATACAGAGAAACCCTGTCTTGAAAAACAAAAACAAAACAAAAAAAAAAACACAACAACAATAAGAAACAAAAACAAACAAACAAGCAAACAAAAAGGTTATGTCTGCTAAAACTTTAACTTGTATCATCTCTTAGACTGGAGGAAAGGCTTGTATGAAGTTGCTATGGAGACTCAAGTGGGGATGGAGGTACCTGAGCGCAACTTCAGAAGTAGCTGCTGTGGTTGGATCTGAGTTATGTCCTCTGGCCGGAGCTTCTCTGCCATTCCTTTGCTGCGGTTGGTGACATTTTTATTTTTCTTTATCGTTTGGGAGCCTCTTGGGTTTTCTATGTCACTTGGTTGGCAGCCCTTCTTTTTTAAAGCTTCTAAATCATCACAACGTGCAGAAGTAGGCATCCCTTCTTGTAAAAATGTCTAAATGACATGTAAAATACTGACATCAGCAAAAAGTAACAACCATTTTGACATAATTATTATTGCATGTAAACAAATTACAAAAATTGTTCATTTCTAGCTTTTTAACAAGATTTTCCCTTTATCCACATCATAGTAAGTGCTTTTATACAAAACCAAGTAAAATCAACTCTGAGAAAGGACTATCTTTCCCCAGACTAAGTCCCCCCTTTCAAGTTCAGAGTGTGTCATCACTAACCAACAATACCCTTCAGTTCTCAGGCTCAGCTTCGAAGGCCCTCTTATAGATGAGCCCAGACACCAGGCAGACTCTTTTCTAAAACTTTCTCTTAGAAAAGTCCTCAGAAGGTCTTTCGTATTATGTACTACCTTCTCAGTAGAGCATTAAACAACTAGGTATTTAGGAAAAGCACATTAGCCTAAATATACCCCTATCAATAATGGGTGTGTGTGTGTGTGTGCACGCGCGTGCGTGCATGTGTGTGTGTGTGTAGAAAATATAGCACAAATTTTCCTGATTGAATTTTTTTTTTTTTTTTTAAGGAGATGGGGTTTCTCCTGTAGTTTGTCCTAGAACTCACTCTATAGACCAGGCTGTCCTGGAACTCAGAGATCCGCCTCCCCCTGCCTCCCAAGTGCTAGTATTAAAGGTGTGCCACCACTGCCTGGCTGAACATTTTTTAACTGCTGGCTATTAAATGGGCTTTTTTATTGCTTTTCTTAACTTTTATTTTACTCGTAAAGGAGTTTTGCCTGCCTGTGCATCTCTGCATTGTAGTGCCCACATAGGCCAGAAGAAGGTGTCACATCTGCTGGTACTGAAGTTACACATGGACTGTAAACCACCATGTGAATGCTGAGAATAGTCTGTCTTCTGGAAGAGCAGGTAGCGCTCTTCTCCAGGGCTCTCTCCAGACTTTTATGTTTGACCTTGAACTCGTTTAAATTAAAGGTCCTGACACTTTACGACTGAATACACAAAACCTACGGTGGGGACTAGGGAGGTAGGTGGCTTAGTGGGTAAAGAGCTTGCTCTGCAAACATGAGGACCTGAGTTCTGATCCCAGCACCCACACAAGAGCAGCACAAGGCAGTGGACACCTGTGACCCTGGCTCCCAACAGTGGAGCACAGAACAGTGGGTTCTCTGACCCACTGTCTGGGACCCCGTGTTCAGCCAGTCTAGCTCCAACAGCAAGCTCCGGGTTCAGAAAGAGATCTTGTCACTAAAAAATAAGCTGGAAAGGGGAAGACACCCTGCTGTTTCCTCTCACCTCTAATGCAAACACCTATGTGACACAAGACAAATGTAACATAGCAAGAGCGTTTATACAAATATAGAGACCCCTGGAAGGGCATGACCAGGGCCAAGGGGTCAAAACTGAAATACATTATTTCAAACCTCAAAATCCAACACAGTACAAGCTCCTAGGGAATTCTTCATTTCCAAGTATTTAGCCAATCCAGGGAGCCTCATAAAACCCAAATAAAATTCCACTGAACACTTTCCACAAGAACCTTAATAATTGAGAAGTTATGCCCCAGATTTCAGAAGCTAAAGTATGCAACTTTGGTTAGGTAAGTTTCAACTACAGATAAACTTGGGCCCATAAAATGGATGCTGATGTTGTCAGTAGCTGCCCGATCAAGAGAAACTGTGACGTGAACCTGTCTCTTTTGATCCACCATTTCTAACCGCAACAATTGGTAAAGCATGAGTTATGTTCCTCATTTTCTGGAGAAGGAAGGCAAGAGCTTCCGTTAGCCTTTCCTAAATGTCCCCAACTTCACCCCCAGCATACCATTCTGAAATAAAACAAAAACTTCTCATTTTATCTTTCACTTTGTCACATCATCATGTCGTATCTGACATTTGATCAGTTAGGCCTTTTGGGTCCAAACACCGGCATGAAGACATACACAATGACCCTAGCATAACCTAAAACTGACTCACTGTAGTTTTAGTAAGCTTTCTTTAAGGGATCACATCAGGCAAAGTACAAAAATCTTTAAAGGAAATAAATGCAAATCCGAAAATCCTGGACTCAGATTTGCATTTATTTCCTTTCACTGAGGCTACGTCATTCCCAGTCAGCTCTCTCTGCCTCATACTATGGATCAAGATGTGAACTCTCAGCCACCACTCCAGTGCCTTCGAGCCCCAAGTTAAATGTTTGTTTTATAAGTTGCCTTGATCGTGGCGTTTTGTCACAGCAATAGAAAATTAGCAGTGTCTAGTGGGTATTGTGTCAAACAGCACAGTTCTGACCACTACACACTACTCAATAAATGTTGTTTCAAATGTTTATCTTATCAAGTACTTCCCAACGATAAGGCTCTGAATGTGAGACTCAAAAATCAGAGAAGAAATCAAACAGTAGCAGAAACCTTACCGTATTTGTACACCACCCACAATTTGGCCCTGCTTGTATACATTCTCCACAAGATTTGGCATTTGCTTTTAAACATCTATTTTTATCTGTAAAAAAAAAAAAGGGCAACTTTAACATTTCAAATAAAAAAAAAGAATAGATCACAATGAAAGACAGAGACAGACGATATGCAGATAAATATATGTGTTAAATATGAACACTCAGTCTAGTTACTAAGCTATAGTAGCCTAGTCCAAAGAAAACCTAATGGTCTGGGATTCCCTTGACACTGAGAGTCACAAAAGGGCAGTCACTTTGTCTTTTGTATGACAGACTAGGAACCATTAGCCTAGCTGAATACCAGTGGATCATTCTGTTGAATTTCAGCCTCTATCATTCTGAATAGCTATAGATGTTCTGGTATTCTTACACCTAGGTCAGATTTCATCTATTCCTACTACTTACAATCCCACACCCATAAGTATCTTCTGGGCTTCCACTCCACTTTTAGCATGTAAATAACTCAGAGTCCATATTCATCCAATACAAAACCTGCTGTGGGATATCTTTCTGTATGCTGTGAATATGTGTGGCTCCCACTGGATAATAAATAAAGCTGTTTTGGCCTATGGCAAGAAAGTCTACAGCCAGGCAGGAAATCCAAGCAAAGACACAGAAAGAAGGGCGGAGTTGGGAGAGACTCGAGCCACCGCCCTAACTAACAGATGCTAGCAGACCAGTAATGCCACGGCCACATGGCAAAACATAGATTAATAGGAATGGGTTGAATGACGTTAAAAGAGCTAATTAATAAGCCTAAGCCATAGGCCATACGATTTGTAATTAATATAAGCCTCTGACTGATTATTTTATAAGTGGCTGTGGGACCACGGGGCCAGGTGGGACTGGAGAAACTCCAGCTACAAATCTTCTTGAGTTTGCATTTCTTTGATTCAATCTAGACTGGCACACCTTTCTTGTAGTAAACACTAGTAGGACTGTCTCCAGTTTATCTTTTCTGATTAGAATACAAACTATGCTTGAATTAAAAACAAATTTAGAGATCTCCCACAATCAACTCACTAAAAGAAAATTCCTCTAATAATTTTTTTAGGTGTGGTCCTTGGGATACAGGTTTTGGGTGGTTGTAGATTTTCTGTATCCAATGTATCAAGTTTCCTATTCAGTATCTTTCATCATTTTCACATGTCCATCCTGAGGTCAGACCATTCTAATTATTCTATTTACTATGCTTTTTTGAGATTTAGACAGTAGAACCAAGCATCCATTATTCCAGATGTAGATGGTCATGATTGCCAGAGAAATGCAAAATGTCTTCAGCTTGCCCCCTGCTCTTATAGATATGCTAACACTACTCAAGACTTCTTGATCACAAAATAAAAGAGTATCTTCTAGAAAGTAAACTGCTCCTGGCTTTTCTTTTCTTTCTTTTTTTTTTTTTTTCCCTGCCTGCTCAGAACCTAGAGCTTTGACTGAACTATATCCCCAACCCTGTGAGGGGGAGTGGCTGTGTCTGGCCCAGGCTAGCCTAAAACTCATGATCCTCCTGACGGTCTCTGCTTCCCAAGTGCTGGGATTACAGGCATATGCCCCTATGCCCCATCTAGTTTCAGTGTTTAAGATGCCAATGGACACTCACTTCATAATCCACCACTGTCCATGTTTATCTTATTTGCTAATGAATATATTACATGCCTCTGCCTTCATTCTGGCCCCCTCAGCACTCTCACGTTCTCCCAAGTGTTGTTGTGTGTATGACATGCTGTCATCTGGGATCTCACTATCCTCACAGTGAAGTGAGGGGTGATTAAGTGATGGTGAAAACCCCTACAGACCCCTTGGAAACCTCTGTCCCTCACTCACAGTGACACAGCCTGCTACAAAACTTCAGGAGTAGTGTGATCTAATGGAGGGTTGTTTTCCCACCCCACTCCCCCAGGAATCTAACTGACCAAAGACTATTGATACAAGATGCTGAAATAAAAATATAAGAAGAAAAACAAAATTTTTTACCTGTTTGGCCAAATACAGAACAAATCAAGCTGATGAATCCAATCCAGAAGGCCAGTTGCAAATTCATCTATAACAGAAAAGTGTGCATCATTACTGAGAGAAAATATCAGATCTATTATGTCAACCTTCCCTTCTTTCTCCTCTCCAAACTTCTCTACACTGTCATCTGCCTTTCTTCCCTAAGTGCTTACCACACCTTTCACCCACATCATCCAACACTTCACACACTTGCAGAATGCGTTCCTGTCTTCTCTAAGTGAAATGTCTTAGCATTCAATTAAATATCACAAAATTATACATCAAGCCAGGCAGTGGTGGTGCATGCCTTTAATCTCAGCACTTGGGGAACAGAGGCAGGTGGATCTCTGAGTTCAAGGCTAATCTGGTCTACAGAGCTGGTTCCAGGACAGCCAAGGCTACAAAAAAGAAACCTTGTCTCAAAGGAAATAATAATAATAATAATAATAATAATAATAATAATAATAATGCGTATGTCCTAAAGGAACCAAGTTAGTATTCCTAAAAGCAGAAAGCTACAGCAGATTATCCTGTAGATTGTCCATCCTCACACTCTCCTGGGGCTCTTAGCCCAACAGGCATATCCAGAGACCCAGTCACCTCAGAACTGATGTGATGGTACTTTCCAGAACTGAATTAGTCATCTCCATACTGACATCTCCTCTATAGTTCTTATTTCTCCTCAAGCTAAAACACATTACATGCAAGACTCTGACTCAACTGTTTAGTTTGCTTTCTTGTTATTTTTTTCTTTTACAAGAAAATCAACTATGCATGGAATTGGTAAAATATTAAACTTGATTCCCTCAACTTTCCACAACAACGAAAGGCCTCATTATAGACCCCGAGTCTGTAGTGTCCTTCAGAATCTCTATGGGGGGGGGGCGGGGGGAATGACACAACACTCAGGTATTAGTCTGTATGCTAACCAGGCAACTTCTAATCATTACCTATACTTCTTTTCTTTAAGATTTATTTATTATATATAGTCCTCTGTCTGCATGTATGCCTGCAGGCCATAAGAGGGCACCAGATCTCATTACAAACGGCTGTGAGCCACCATGTGGTTTCTGGGAATCGAACTCAGGACCTCTGGAAGAACAGCCAGTGCTCTTAACTGCTGAGCCAACTCTCCAGCCCATTACCTATACTTCTATTCGACCAATGTTTTCAGTTCCAAGATTCATTCCTAATCAAATATACTCAAAGATGGCTGAGATCAGAGACTAGTCAGCTAACACTTTAACTGTCTGCACCTCATGGACACCTCTAGTTTAGTATACATGTATATGCATCTGCCTCACCCAAAGAATGAAAAGGGAGCAAGGAATGTTGGCATGAGCATAGTCCCAAAACCTAAGAGGCAGAGACAGGAGGATTACATGAGTTCAAGGCCAGTATGGTCTACATGGCAAAATCACCGTCTTGAGAAACAGAAAGAGAGAACACCGAGAAGGTGGAGGTAGGAGGACCAGCAGGAGGATCAGAAGTACAAGGTCATCATCCTTCCCTACATAACAAGTTCAAGACCTTGTCTAAAAAAGAAAAGTTCTTTAAATTCCATGTTAACACTGAGTATTTTTTTAAAAGCTCTTCACCTTCAAGCCCTTGTATCTCGAACAGCTCTTCCCAAAGCACAGAAAACTTTCTGTTCTGGTCACAGGCCTCTTTCATAGGAAGAGTAAAGACAGGTATATTACTGTGCCATGAGACCTGGTCCTAACCCTGGGTTGAACACTTGTGCTCCTCTGCTCATGCCGACTTCCCAGAGACATGAGAGGGGTAGCTCTAGGAGCCATCCACCTGCAATCAGGCTTACTCCAAGAAATGAGTTCTTCTTGGAGCTGACAGGTTGCTGCAGACGGCTTGGGACTGCATCCAAGTGGTGACTAAAACCTGAGTGTCACAAAAGCACGATATTCTAAGGTTTGTCTAAGATCAGTGTAATTCTCAACAGTTCAAATACTGCCACTGGTGACTAAGAACAGAGAACATGCCACTCCTGTGGAAGCAGATGATCAGTATCTGCATGAGGATAAATACATTCCTTCAGGCTACTTTGATACTTGCTGACCAGCCTTGAGAAATCTTTCAAAATACCATACAAGGCAGAGAGACACACTATGATCCAATGAAAATGATGCTTCCCAATATACTGCACTTTAAGCCATTACTGTGAGCTGATAGGTCAAAGAACCTACTAACGCCCTCTGGAAGTGTGCCAAGCCCAGAGGCAGACAAAACCAAGTTCCAGTGCTCAAGAACAGCTGAGAGAACACGGGCAGCTCTGGACACAGCTTGGAGCCAGCCATCAACTCTCCTGTAAAGGTCTGTAAGCTGGCAGAGGCGCTGTTGGTGCTTGGCATCCGTGAATGCTGGGTTTTAGGGACAGGAAGTAGTTAGGACTCCAACAGGCTCTAAGGACAATGGCAGTAACCAGAAAGAGCACGCGCTAGGAGCACGAGGCTGGGACCACACTTGAGAGTGACCCCGAGGGAGGCAGCACGACCGGCTTCTGCATGAGGCGGAGTGGGGGAGGCTTGAGAAAAGCAGTCTCAGTTCACCTCGGTGTCCTTCCCAAGCCTAAAGCCATAACCTTGGGGTAGCAAGGCCTGTTCAGCAGGGGACCCTTATGCTGAGAAAAGGGGGGGATTAAAGGTACCCTATCAATGGCATCTCACTGAAGACAAATCATCATCAGAGGGGACAAGAGAAAATGCCATGAGACGTGGTCCTAATCCTTGGTCTGCTTTTCTTAGACAAAGGTTATTAAGTGGTCTGATCTGCATTTCATCTCCTGAAACTGCTACAGCTGACAGATACTCCTTACCACACATGAACTAATCCTGAAAAAGACATCTTCTCAGGCCTTATCTTAGAGTCTACAGTCGTTCACTTATAAACTTGACTATAAGGTACACCCTTCCCCAGACTGCTTTTAGTCAGTGTTTTATCTCAACAACAGAAAAAGGAAAAGAGGACAATCCTTTCCAGGCTTCCTTGCCAACACCTCTTCTCCCTGGACTCTACTGGCTCGTTCTCTTACTGTCTGAAGGTCCTTCTTCAGATGGTCACATCAGGCTTTGCGTCATCTCCAAAATACAAATCCTCAAGGAACAACAGTTCACAGACAAAAATGCAAACAATTACAATACAGTATGATCACCTCTGTGAAGAGGATGAGTATGGATAAAGTCTCCAGACAGCGCTGCATTTCAAAATGAACCCTCTGCAATGCTGATTAGAACTTTAACAACTGTGGAGGGCTTGGAATGTTGCAAGTTCAGAGCCAAATTATCTTGAGCCAAGTTTTTTCCTCGTAATAGTCATTTATTGCCCGATATTCTACTTAGCTTTCTATTGCTGTGTAAAGACCATGACCAAAGCCGGGTGGTGATGGCTCACCCCTTTAATCCCAGCACTCGGGAGGCAGAGGCAGGTGGATCTCTGTGAGTTCAAGGCCAGTTTGGTCTACAAAGTGAGTTCCAGGACAGACTCCAGAGCTACACAGAGAAACCCTGTCTTGAAAAACCAAAATATATAAATAAAAAGACCATGACCAAAAGCAACTTAAGAAGAAAAGGGTTTATTTAGCTTACAGGTTACAGTCCATCATCAAGAACTCGACAGGAACTGAAGCAGAAACCATGGAAGATTGCTGTTCACTGGCTTGCTCTTTGTAGCTTGCTCAGCCTGGTTTCTTATACACCCCATGACCACCTGCCCAGGGGTGGCACCCCACATACAGTGGGCTACACCTACCCACATTAATCTCTAATCAAGGAAATGCCCGCAGGTGGGGCACCAATCTGATGGGAGCATTCATTCCATTGAGATTCCTTCTTCCTAGGTATGTCTAGGTTTGTGTCAAATTGACAAAAAGCAACCAGAACGCCTTCCTCTATCCATGACTTATCAGTTTTGTGACCATTAGGTAAATCCTTCCCAATGGAGAAAAAGGGCACTATTATCTCTTAGAATGTATTTACTTAGCAGATTACTTCAACAAGCCCCAAAACTAAGTGTCACCGTGTATCCGTTACTTTTCTACTGTTGTAATACAATACCATGACCAAGGCAACTTTATTTGGGGCTTAGGATTGCAGAGGGTTATAGTTCATGATGGCAAAGCAGAAGTTATAATTCTTCCTATCAGATAACTGTCCTCCTTTGCAATGCTCAACTCTTTACTCAAAGGATTAAGAGGGTGATGTATATTTATCTGTGTACTTTAAAGTATGTATGTGTATACACATAATATTGTAAGCATACACATACAAACATTAAGGGTATTTTTTACCAGCACTTCCTCTCAATAACAACAAAAAGGTTTTTCAAGGTCTCTATCATAGCCTATGTAAGATACAACTCTAAACATTCAAAGGAAAAAAATGGTCATTTGCTAAGAGATGGTGGAGTACACCTTTAATCCCAGCACTTAGGAGACAGAAGCAGGAAGATCTCTGTGAATTCAAGGCTAGCCCGGTCTCCAGATCGAGTTCCAGGATAGCCAAGACTACACAGAGAAACACTATCTTGAAAAAAAAAAAGAAAGAAAGAAAAGTTTGAACTTTTGCTGGGTGTGGTGATGGTGCATACCTTTAATCCCAACACTTGGGAGGCAGAAGCAGGCAGACCTCTGAGTTCCAGGCCAACCTGGTGTACAGAGCAGGATCCAGGAAAGCCAGGGCTACACAGAAAAACCCTGTCTTTTGGCTTGGGGGGGGGGGTCAGATCTGGATCATAATGGCTAGTAGATTTTGATGATATAATTAATCTAGATTCTTTTTTTTTAATGGCTTTTACCAGGTGTCTGATTTGCTTTCTGTTGCTGTGATAAAACACTGACCAAAACCAACCTGGGAAGGAAAGGTTGGCTTACATTTCCAGGTCCAACACTGGAGGAAATCAGCACAGGAGCTCACTCATATGGGAACCAGGAGGTAGGAACTGAAGTAGAACCATAGCTGGGCTGCTTCCTCTGGCTTGCTCAGCTAACTTTCTTATGTAGCCCAGGTTTACTAACCTAAGGATAGCACAGTAGACAGT